TAGTAAAGCGTGTCATTGAGCTACCCTCACCTTCGGGGTTGGTTCTTGCGGCGCCCAACGTGCGGGCTTGGCGGGTGATGCCAATTAGCCGTTGAACCACCAAGTGAGCGGTCGACACAACGGGGACTAGCGTGTTGGCAAGCACGTGAACCTCGGGAGAAAAATCATCGTGTCAACCTTGTTCTTCCCATTGGTTTGCATCCCCGTTACACAAGCTTGTAATTACTTTTATATATATTGTGCTTGTGTAGTTGCTCTTGCAATTAATTAGCTTGTGTAGCTTACTAGTTATCTTCTTGCTTGTGTAGCATAGAAGTAGCTCCCTTGCGTGGCTAATTTGGTTTGCGTAACCTTGTTAGTCATATTGTTTACTTTGTGTAGCTAAGTAATTGCGCTCTCTAATTTGGCATTGGTTGCCTTGTTATTGAGCATTGTTAGTGAGCTTAGGTGGCTTTGTGCTTTTGCTTACTAGCATGTGTAGGAGCTCCCTTGTTGCTTAGAGTACTAGTGGCATATGTTTGTGTGATCTTGCTCCTAAAATTGATTAGGAGAGCTCTAGCTAGCCCGGCACCTTTGTTGCATAATTAGTATCTTTGGAAGGTGCTAGAGAACATATATAGAGGGGTGTAGTCTTGGCTAGACCGATAATTTTAATTCCGCATTTATATCGGTTAGCCGACGCGATTAATTTTAGAAAAAACTATTCACCCCCCCCCCCTCTAGTCCACCATCTCGACCCTTCAATCTTCACCTGAAGTGCTCCAAGTGCTCATTTGGGGCGACATCGGTGGCCTATCTAGGCCATGTGATCTCTGAGGGCGTCGTCGCCATGGACGCCGACAAGGTCGCCGCCGTTGCTGCATGGCCGACTCCACGCTCCGCACGGGGCCTCCGCGGCTTCTTGGGCCTCGTGGGCTACTACCGGAAGTTCATCTGGGACTTTGGCCTCATTGCAGCACCGCTCACGCGTCTCTTACGGTGAGACGCGTTTGCATGGGACGACGACGCAGCATCAGCATTCGAGGCGCTCAAGATGCCGGACTTCGCCACGACCTTTGTGGTGGACTGCGACGCGTCGGGTGCGGGGTTTGGCGCTGTCCTACATCAGGGCGCGGGACCCGTCGCCTTCAGCAGGCTCTTTGCTGCCCGACACTTGAAGCTTGCAGCGTATGAGCGGGAGCTAATCGGCTTGGTGCAGGCAGTGCACCATTGGCGCCCATACTTGTGGGGGTGTCATTTTCTGGTTCGTACTGACCACTACAGCCTCAAATTCTTGCTTGATCAGCGCCTGTCCACCGTTCCACAGCACCAATGGATCAGCAAGCTCTTCGGCTTCGACTTCTCGGTGGAGTACCGCCCGGGGCGTCTGAATACCGTGGCGGACGCTCTGTCTCACCGGGATGCAGAGGAGGGTGCTACGGCCACCATGGAGGGGGCGACTGTGGCTGTTGATGCCCTGTCCGGGCCGACCTTCGCCCTCCTGGATGACATCAGGTGGGCAACAATGACCGCACCCGGTGGACAGCAGCTCCTCCAGCAGTTCTGGGCCGGCGAGCTCTCGGAGCCATGGCACATCGACAACGGGCTCCTTCTCCATGGGTCCCGCATCTTTGTACCGGACCATGGGGACCTGCGCCACCAGGTGCTCCTCCTGGCGCACTCGGCTGGCCACGAGGGAGTCCAGAAGACCCTCCACCGCCTCCGCGCCGATTTCTACATTCCACGGGATCGCGTGTTGGTTCAAGATTGGGTGCGTTCTTGCACCACCTGCCAGAAGAACAAGACAGAGACGTTGCAACCGGCGGGGCTGCTACAGCCCCTCGAGGTGCCGTCCCAAGTGTGGGCCAACATCTCGATGGACTTCATCGAGGGGCTGCCCAAGGTCGGTGGCAAGTCCGTCATTCTCACTGTGGTGGATCGCTTCTCCAAGTACGCTCACTTCATCGCGCTCGGCCACCCCTACACCGCCACGACCATCGTCCGGGCCTTCTTCGACGGCATTGTCCGCCTTCATGGGTTTCCGCTGTCCATTGTCAGTGACTGGGATCCTGTGTTTACCGGGCACGTGTGGTGGGATCTCTTCCGAATGGCCGGCGTTAAACTCCGCATAAGTACGGCGTTCCACCCGCAAACGGATGGCCAATCTGAGGTGGTCAACAAGGTCATCGCCATGTACTTGCGTTGTGTGATGGGCGATCGCCCGCGTGCATGGGTGGACTGGCTCTCGTGGGCGGAGTATTGCTATAATACCTCATTCCACACCACCCTGCGCGCCACTCCCTTCGAGGTCATCTACGGTCGGCCTCCTCCGCCAATGTTGCCCTACACGTCGGGGATGGCGCGTACGGAAGCTGGTGATGCTCTTCTATGATCCCGGGATGAGGTCCTGGCAGAGGTTCGCCAATGTCTTTTGTAGGCCCAGCAGTTGTCCAAGAAGTATTATGATGCAGGGCATCGCGATGTGGAGTTCCAAGTGGGTGATTGGGTCTGGCTACGGTTGCTGCACCGCACAGCGCAATCCCTCGAGCCGGGCGCCAAGGGCAAGCTCGGTCCTCGCTACACAGGGCCGTTCCGCGTTCTGGAACGCATCAACCGGGTGGCGTACCGTCTGCAGCTGCCGGAGGGTGCTCGTTTACATGATGTCTTCCACGTGGGCTTGCTCGAGCGCCACAAAGGGGACCCTCCAGCAGCGCTGGGCGTCCTTGAGCCGACTCTGGACGGTCGGCTCCTGCCAAGGCGCTCCGGGCTCAGCAACGCCGGGGTGCCTGGCAAGTACTCATCCAGTGGAGCGGCTTCTCCGAGGAGGATGCGACATGGGAGTTCGTCGACGAGTTCCGCGCCCTCTACCCTGACTTTCAACTTGAGTACGATCTGTTTGCGCAGGCGGGGAGAGATATTATGACCGGTATCCATTATACAAGGCGTAGGCCCATTAGTGGCTAGGGGCTGCCGGCCAGGAGGGCCTAAAAGCCCATAGTTATTTTATTTATTCCTATTATTAGAGAGAAATATAAATACTTGTAAAGACTTTGAGATTGGATTAAGCAGAAACAGAGTTGTTTCCGACTTCCTGAAGGAAGCCGGGATTTCCTAACCGTAGCCGCCTCCTACTGTTGTCTCGTATGAACAGTGCCGTCGCTACTGTAGCACTGCGAGAGTTCTAGGGCTGCAAGCAGCAGCCGCCGCACTCTCGACGCCACGGCCCCTCGCTGACGTCGAGAGTACAGAACACGTCCTCCCCTCTTCCACCCCTATAACCTACGCAGCCACGCCGGTAGGGCATCGAGTCCTATCATATGCACTATAATGTTTTCTTATATGTATTAGGTCAAAGTTGAAAAGTTTGACTTTGTAGGAGTATAGGACAATGATAAATAAAGAGGGTCAAGACAAGATTTAGGTTGTTTTACATCCAACTATGCAAGAGCGGAGAGCACCAAACATGAGCAGGAACGATGAAGACTAGTCAGAACTCAGTTTAGCTGTGAAGGCCAAGGTGAATCCATCAATGGTGCTGTGCTGGGGCCAAGAGGGCAAGGGCTGCATGATCTGCCAGAAGCCGGTGAAGGGGCAGGAACAGAACAGGTGACTTCTGTCGAATGTTGAGAAGACCTTCTTTTACTGCACAATATATATACAATGTCATTTCTGTCCGTCAGGAAGTTTCCCATTTAGACGTTCAAAGTTGGCACCCTATAGTGCAAGCTAAAACATAAGTAAAATGCAAAACAAGAGCAACAAAAAATAATCAGTTATGGACAAGAAATTATGGGCCTGCTTGGTTGCAAGCCAATTTTTGTCAAACCAAATTTAGAGCAAGTCAAAACATGGGTACACCAATTTTAGGGTAAGCCAATATTTTGGCAAGGCAATGAAGGTTGGTATTTGGTTTGCTAAAAATAAGAGAGAAAATGTTGTCTTGCCAAAAATTCGGAATGGCACCACACCAATTGAGTGCCAAATTTTTAGACTTGCCCATATTTTGGTTTGGCAAAGATTGGATTGCAACCAAGCAGGCCCTCTATAGATAGTCCCCATTCTATTTCATATTACGAATTATGAAAAGGGTACATTCCGATGGTGCTGCAGCCCAGAGCTTTCTATGACAGGACATCATAAATTCATAAGTAACAAATAGGTTACAAAACACTCTTAGATGCTCGATTTGACAATGAACTTGATGCACAAAGGAACTTTTCAAGCTTATCACAGATCCAGTGCAGCATCCTTGCATCCGGCACATACAAATCTTACCATGGTTCTATAAAAAAATGATTATTTTTGCAGCGAATGTGTTTATGGTGTTGGACCATGCCTTCAACGATAAATGTAACCAAAGAGATGCCGATTATATTTGTAGCCCACGTGTTTATGGTGTTAAACAATATCTTCAGAGGTGAAGGTCACCAAAGAGATGCCACCAACGCTGAGCACTCACTTCTTTGAGGAACCAAACCCACCAAAACCCATCATGGCAGAATGTCAGGGTCCATATCCTCAGGCTCATGTTGAGCTGTCTGTTCTCTCTGAAATCAAGTGGGTATAAATTGTACTAATTCTCAAACCCCCACGGGACTGTCAGTTATTTCAAAAGGAAAGCAGGACTTAGCAACAGGCAACAGGTCATCTATTTTGCATTGCTGCACTTACTTTCTTCACTTTCTTCTTTTCTTTGTGTTGGTGCTTCCGCTCTTCCTCTTGTTGTTTCAATATTCTTTCATATGCTCCCTATTTCCCTAGAGTTATTGCGTGCAAAATTTTCATTCTGAATGTTATGTGCCATGAAACTGACAGCATATATGAGGATTTTTCACTTTCTCACCATGTTCAGTAAAGGCCCTTGGACCCTTCTCACAGGTGCTCGAGCAGAAAGAATGGTATGTGGTCCAGTGGCGGAAGGACAGAGCATGGTCTTGTCCAAGTGCGGCGGTCTTCCCAGAGTGATAACTACTGTTGCAAGATAGTTGGCCAGCAAACCAAGAGACGCCCTCGAATAGGAGATGAGGCGCCTGAGTGACAACTTGATGCAGGAGGTGGCGACCAACCCAGAGTTTGATTCCTTGCGGGGCCTGCTCCCCTGGATGCATTCCTATTTACATGCCTGTCCTCGCCACCTCAAGAAATGCATGCTGTATCTATCAATCTTTCCTCAGGACACCATCATTCGGAGAAGGCGTTTGATCAGGCGATGGATCGCCGAGGGCTACTCAAAGGGCAAAGACAGCAATAGCACCGACAAGTACGCAGAGAAGATGTTCGATGAGGTTGCAGCACTGAGTATCATGCTGCCAGTACTACTGGATGCAAGCAATAAGGTGACTGGGTACCGAGTCAACGGTTTCTTCCGCGAGTACATCATGTCACGGCCAGTGGAAGAGACCATTTTCTTTCCATTGGAAGTCTCTGCACTGGAGAAGCAGGGGCATGACCGCCTGACCATCGGGAGCACCGGCCTAGCCATCGGGAGCACATGGGAAAGAGATCGGGTTTTTCTTCGAGAGTTTGGACTTCTCACGGCTACGGTCGCTGACGGTGTTTCAATTGTTTTGGCCATTATTCTACGTGTCGGACAGGATGAGGGTGCTTCGGGTGCTGGATCTAGAGAATGCAGGCCAAGTAATTGATTCTGACTTGGAGGAGATTGGGAAGCTGCCATCTCGTCTCACGTTCCTCTCCATAAGAGGACAGAGGGAGATCACTCGTCTGCCAGACTCCGTGGGCATACCGCTGCTCGGGAACCTACCAAGTCTGCATACTCTGCGCCTTCGCGTCAGCAAGGATCAACAACATGGTGAGGTAGGTCCAATTCCCCACTGCCCTTTTCAGCAAACTCCAGGTCCTCGAGATTGCCTGCAAATCCAAGTTGCATGTAAGGTTTGACGAGGGAGTCATCCAGAAGCTTGAGCTGCTGAAGGTCCACTGCCTTGAAGGTTCAGAGATGCAGTTTTTGACGCTAGAGCACCCGGTTTCCCCCAAGCAAGTATGGCTTCTGGGTTCCTTTGACGACGCACTCAAGGAAGCAGTCCAGCAGCAGCTTGTGAAGCACCCGAAGAAACCTGCTCCGAAGCTGGAGGTCCGCCGGCCACGTTCATACCAGGTGTGGAGATCGTGATTAGGCTTGCCCTCGTCTCAAGCATAACTTACTGTTCCTGCACCGCACGTACGACTGGTGCCGCTCGTTCCCTTTAATTATTCCCTTTTTTTGTTTTAATAATTATGCTTTAGTTCTAATAATCTCTTCTAAAAGTGAGCACCGGTTGTTATGTATATATTCGTGTATAATAAATGCTCTCGTGTTGTTGAATGTAGATACCTATTCAGTTGGCGGGATTGTATATTTTGTTCTCTTAGGGCAGTCCCAACGGTGTATTGATAATGGTTTCTATCCTCATTAAATGACTTGCCACGTAGGCAAAATGCTGACATGGCAACGTAATTAATGAAGAAAGAGAGCAAAAATCATAGAAATGGTTTCTTCACGAAGAAATCAGGTCTACTCTTGACCCAATGCACCAAGAAACCATAAAATCGTCATTGGGAAGAAACCACCAGTTTCTAGGGAGCTCGTGTCGCGCTTCCATTGGAGGAAGAAGATAGAGTTGGGAGAGGGAAAGAGAAAATAATTATTACTCATAGAAACCATGGGTTGGAAAGCAGTACTTTTTGGTGTGGTATCCTATGTTATAGAAACTACTAGTTTTTTTATTGGGACTGCCCTTACCCAATTATTACTAGGTGCATTGCCATGTGCATGTATATAGCACATGATCACTGTACTGTTGTCACGCATTTGTCAGCCTGGTACATGATCACTATCTCCCCCATAACTTTGTCCTTCACTATCCCGAGAGAGATGTATTGGGGCCGGGTTAAGATTTCACCGTCCCTGCTTATTGCCTTTTGGTTACTGAAACTCGCATGAGGGCCCAGCCCAAAGCAGCAGAGCTTCACAGCCTTCTTGTTTCCTCTTTGGGTTTGGGCCTCGCTGTGAGTGAGTGTCGGCCCCGTGACGGACAGGATAGCCCACGCTGGAACTTGACAACACGCTGTTTCCTTGGCTGAGCTTTGCCTAGTTCTCTTCGTTACCGTTGTCATTTATTTATCCTCTCCATGGAACCAATTGTTGCATTATATCCTTACCTTGTCCAGATAAAATCCTGTGAATCCTAATTAAGTGTAGGACCGAATGATGCTTAGCTAAGCATAGACCGGTAGAAGTCAGGTGATTTCCTGTCACCTGCGAGATATAGGATGAGCTCTGGTCACGGTTGGCTATATTTGCTATCATGGAAAAGAACCATGTATTAATAATAAAAAGGGACTGGACGGGATGATGGTAGTGCAGCAACAAGGCATGGAGGTCTTGGGTGTGAATCTATCCCCGTCTGTGTCGTTTAAGGACCGATTCGCTGTACGTCCTCATGTCATGTTGAACGCATGCCTATCACTTAGTTGTCCGGATAACTCGTTCCGACCACGAAGCCGAGTAGCTCAACTCAGGCCGGAAGACCGAGAAGTGAAACTGCCCACCCTGGCGGTAGTAAGGATGTGCGGGGAGCCATTGGCGTAAGTCCTAGGTGAGATTGACCACCTGACAGAGTGGACTCCCTGAGGGTGCGGGGCTGCTCAGAGCCGCGATTCCTGAGTTGTACCAAAGGTGACCCGAGGAAACCATTGATCAGGTGGATTGGGTGAGTGTTAGGAATACCCCTCCAGCTGGATAGGAATCGATTCGAATCGCCGTCTCTTCCGGATAGTGAGAACTTGACTGAGCAGCGGCAACGTAGATTCACTAAATTTAAAGATATGGTTAAAGAATGATGATGATAATGATAATGAGCCATGAAATACCTGATATGGTTATTATTGTTTGCAACTTAATCAAGTGATTGATTAGTACAGGTGCTAATATAGATGGTAGGAATGGTTAAAAGTCACTGCTAGTACATGTGAATAATGCTAATGGTTACTCAAGCTTTTATGCAAAAAGGGTGTCCAGCTAGATCCACTGATAAAGCCTTGCATAATCCTTGGTGTCACTTTTATTTCTAGTTTATGACGGGTAAGTCTAGCTGAGTACATTCGAGTACTCAGGGTTTATCCCACCATGTTGCAGGTGAAGTTCTCAGCCTGTTGAAGATGGTGGCTAACCGCCGGTGGGCTCGGTGATTCTATATTTACTTCTCATCTATATGCTTTTGTCTGAGGATGTCACTTATGCTAGCAATGTATTTAGAACTTATATTAATGTAATCATTTGAAAGCTATGTTGTTTTCAATAATCGGTTTTGAAACCCAAACTTTTAATATTATTTGTGAATCCATTTGTAATATTATTTCCGTTGCAACTCTGCGTATGTGATGTGTATTTGCTTAATCACGCGATCTTGGTTGTGATGTTGATTTACCGAGGTCCTTCGTGACACTCGGCGGACTACCGGGTTTATATGAGTGAAAGTATGTGTGTGTCAACGTGTTAGCGGAGACAACCATACTTGATCTTGTATGAATTGGGCGGTTCTGTTACACCATCTACTCTCTATACTCATTTTTAATACACTATAAATTTCTCATTTTATAAGCAAATAAAATTAAGAAACTATTAAATTATCTATATCTCTAAACAATGAAGTGTGCTATGCATGCTAGAAATAAAAAGTGAATACTAATTTTAAATACCTACTTTAACCTTTCTTCATCCAAATATGCAAACTATAAGTTATTTTGAGCTCAAATTGTTTAGAAATAAAAAAAACACCATAAAAACAATATATATATAGTGAACAATATGAGATAAGCCAATGATAAAAAATGAGAGTATGAGATTGGTAACCTTTACAATTGAAGAATCGGCGGAGGAATCGAAGAAATCGATGGAGGAATCGAAGAATGGATGGAGGAACAATGGAGGGAGGAAGCAAGAACACTAGTGCAGTGAGCTTCAAAATGTGCTGAGCTCGGGCTCGGAGAGGAAGAAGGAGACGGCCGGGATATAAAGGGGGACCTTTAGTCCTGGTTGGTGGCTCCAACCGGGACTAAAGGTAACTTTCCAACCCTTGGCGCAGCCACGGCCCGGGAGTAGACCTTTACTCCCGGTTGGAGCCACCAACCAGGAGTAAAAGTCTACCTTTAGTTCCGGTTGGTGGCTCCAACCGGAACTAAAGATCTCTGCCACCTCTGTCTGGCACAGTAGCCGTTGGGCAGGGGCCTTTAGTCTCGGTTGGATCCATCAATCGGGACTAAAGGTCTCTATAGTCCTGGGCGCAAAAAATGCCTGGACTAGAACCTATTTTGACCGAGGATCTGTTCTCTACTGGTGGCTGTCTGACTTTAGAGATGACTAATGCACTGTTGACAGCAGAGGTCATACCGCTGCTCGGGAACCTACCAAGTCTGCATACTCTGCGCCTTCGCGTCAGCAAGGATCAACAACATGGTGAGCTCCAATTCCCCACTGCCCTTTTCAGCAAACTCCAGGTCCTCGAGATTGCCTGCAAATCCAAGTTGCATGTAAGGTTTGACGAGGGAGCCATCCAGAAGCTTGAGCTGCTGAAGGTCCACTGCCTTGAAGGTTCAGAGATGCAGTTTTTGGCGCTAGAGCACCCGGTTTCCCCCAAGCAAAGTATGGCTTCTGGGTTCCTTTGACGACGCACTCAACGAAGCAGTCCAGCAGAAGCTTGTCAAGCACCCGAAGAAACCTGCTCCGAAGCTGGAGGTCCGCCGGCCACGTTCATACCAGGTGTGGAGATCGTGATTAGGCTTGCCCTCGTCTCAAGCATAACTTACTGTTCCTGCACCGCACGTACGACTGGTGCCGCTCGTTCCCTTTAATTATTCCCTTTTTTTGCTTTAATAATTATGCTTTAGTTCTAATAATCTCTTCTAAAAGTGAGCACCGGTTGTTATGTACTCCCTCCGTATAGGAAAAGGAAGACGTTTTGGGACTTCTGCTCATTTGCGTAAAGGACGTCGCCGAGCGCTTGCACGCGTTCTGGTACATGATCACTACCTCCCCATAACTTTGTCCTTCACTATCCCGAGAGAGATGTATTGGGGCCGGGTTAAGATTTCACCGTCCCTGCTTATTGCCTTTTGGTTACTGAAACTCGCATGAGGGCCCAGCCCAAAGCAGCAGAGCTTCACAGCCTTCTTGTTTCCTCTTTGGGTTTAGGCCTCGCTGTGAGTGAGTGTCGGCCCCGTGACGGACAGGACAGCCCACGCTGGAACTTGACAACACGCTGTTTCCTTGGCTAGTTCTGTTCGTCCCGTTGTCATTTATTTACCCTCTCCATGTATGTATCTACGTACTACTCTTTTCGACATCTTCTAGGTAGGCTGCCGTACTGTTCAGTGGAGTATATATTAATTGTACATGGCGCAAAAAGAAAGATTGTCGTCGTTTGTGAGTTCTGTTGTGAATGAAGTTGAGAAATATTGAACCATGTGAAACCATATGTGCAGAACTTGTAGATCTTGATAAGTTCTGCAACTTCTATGTTCATAATTTTTTCATCTGAAATCAATTAGTATTCCAAAATAACGTTTAGCCTTCTCTATATGCTCCTCTAGATATTGTTCATTTTTTGCCCCTCTATTTTTTTCTATTTTTTAGGCTGTCGTTGTTTTTTTGAGAAATTTTGACTTTTTCTTTTTATTTTTTTGATATTTTTCCTTCACTTAGGAGCCCAAAAGAAGTAACCACAGAAAATATGAGCTTAAACAAGTGAAAGGCGTGGCCCGTGGAAATTTCAGAAGACGTGCTCAAAATCGATAAAAAGCTTGTGACCACAAAAAGATAATCTTGTGACCAGTTTTTGACCAATTTAAAATTCTCCGAGGAGGAGGAGGACAAGGAGGTCCATATTTAGTTAACAAAGTACTCCTATTTATTCCATTATATTTCGTTAACGTTGAGCCTCCTTCAACCACCAGATGGTCCTTCTATTTAGTGGCTATTTAGTTTTCAAAATTTTGCAAAATTTTTCAAGATTTTTCGTCACATCGAATCTTTAGACGCATGCATGAAGCATTAAATATAAAATATAAAATAAAACTAATTACACAGTTTAGACGAAATTCACGAGACGAATCTTTTAAGTCTAATTAGACTAT